ATTCCTCAAATAGCTGAGTTAAAGAGTATGAACATTTTAATAATTCTTGATACATATTTGGAAATATCCTTCTAAAAAGATAATCATTTGTACTGTTATTAAAAATATAGGGCTAATCCTAATTTGAGCAACTTACAATCTTGGTGAAATGCTTAAAAACGTGTTCTAATGCCACAGCTGTGAAATGCACCCCTCATATGTAAAGCCTGCTGTCAGGGAGTCATCAATCTTCCAGACCCTTCACTCACTGAATTTCTTAGATGGCTAATAACTTGGTGTCAACATAAAGTGAAGCCAGACTGCACAGGGTCAAAGTCAGTTCTGCCACGTATTAGCTGTGTGATCCTTTGACAATTAATGACTTTGCTTTTCAGTTTCCTCATCCGTAGAGTACCTACTTCACAGGATTTTTCTGAGGGCTAAATGCAAAGCCTACCAATTTTGAAATTAAGTATATGTTCTTTTGAAATAAAGCCTATATATTTTTCAATAACCTAAATTGAGAACAACAATAACAACTTTCAGGATAGATTTAATTTTGGTGAACAGCACAAAGCTATTTAGAGGTAGGTCTGTAAGAGGGTTCATTTATGAAGCTGGGTCCTAAATATCTCATCTAGCAAAAATGTTTATCCTTTTAAAAATGTTAGCATTTAAACATCAGCTTGGGAAGAAAATTTACATCTTTGGATTCATATCCTCGAGCCAGTCATTTCATTGCTGTTCAATGCCAAACTAAGTTACTGTTATTTTGTTTGTCCCCAGTCCCAGTCTGTGTAAGTTGGCCTTATTTTTTTCCCTTTAAATGGATGGATGAACTTGATCCCAAAGAAAGCAAGTAGAATATTTTATTAGTCTTGAGCTTTGAGAAAACTAACTTGTGTTATTTGCTTGTCTTTTACTCTCCTTAAGAAACTTCTATTAGACGGATGTTAAAACTTTTTATCTATCTTCCATGTCTCAATTTTTCTCTCATACTTTTTTGCTCTCTCTCTGCATTGTGTCCTAAAATGGAAGCAAACTTAACCCTCCACCTCATTAATTCATTTGGTCTCTGCATTCATTCTCCTATTGAGCTCATCTGTCACTTTTATTTTCATGATTCATTCACTGACTCAGCGAACTTTACCGAATGCTTCCATGGTGACAGAGTTGTCTGAGAAACATTTTTTAGATTTCCAGATCTTTTGGGGCATTGCAACATCCTCAAATCTAAAGTTATTTTGTTGTCTTGTTTAGGGTGCTAAAGTTCCTCAAATTTCTCAGAAGTGATTCACTACAGTTGTCATTTGAGAATGCCTTTGTTTTCTATCTAGATTATCCCTGTGGGGTTGGTTCAAAGGTAGCCTAGGTTGATCCTGGGGAATGCTGGCTCATGCTGCCACATGAGGGAGGCCAGGAGCCCACTTTCTGTGCAAAAGGGCTCCTCATCTTATTGGGGAGGTGTAGCTACTGAAGGTTTTGTGGGTCTTCTCTGCCCAAGGCCCACAGTCAGGGCTTTGGTCTGAGAACCACCACTGCAGCCGCCTCTCTCCTGCTCAGCCTAAGTGGAAGAGATGGTCACATGATCCAGCTGTTTCAAGCACAGACTCCATAAGGGCATTTTCCAATACCCTTTCCTAGTTTGTGGCTTCCCTGTGGTTACTCCCATTTTACCTACACTCCTCATTTCTGCAAAGCCATGCTTCTTCAGATCTTATATATCTGATCCTGTTTCTATATTTCAGAACTCCTCAAGAGCACTAGTCAACTGATGATTTTGGTTGCACCATGCCATTACATTTCATTTTGTCTTTTTTTTGCGGGGGGTTGGGAGGTTTAGGGAGGAAGAGAAAGCAATGACATTTGCTCAGTGGAACCGTCTTTATCCCATCTCCCTTCTTAACTGGAATTTACTTCAGTTCCGTTCAGTGCTCAGCCTAGGTCTTGGAGCTTAAATCTGTCTAAACTGCCAGGCACCAATAATAATACTCAGAAGGTTCTTCATGTGTCTAATTTAGTTAATAAATTAAGCCCAAAGAAAGTGCTCTGAAGTTCCAAGTTCTACTAGTTGAGTGAAGGCATCTGAGTTACCCCTGGAGAAAACGGAAGAATTTGACATGCAGGACAGGCATATAAGAAGATAGCAACTAGGCTGGGCCAGTGGCTCACACCTGTAATCCCAGCACTTTTGAGAGGCCGAGGTGGGCAGATCATCTGAGGTCAGGAGTTCGAGACCGGCCTGGCCAACATAGTGAAACCCTGTCTCTACTAAAAATACAAAAATTAACCAGATGTGGTGGCAGGCACCTGTAATCCCAGCTACTTGGGAGGCTGAGGCAGGAAAATCGCTTGAACCCTGGAAGCAGAGGCTGCAGTAAGCTGAGATTGTGCCACTATACTCCAGCCTGAGTGACAGAGCAAGACTCTGTCAAAAAAAAAAAAAAGCAACTAGTTTGGTTTGAAACACTATTGATCACAGAACTTAAGCAATGGGGAAAAACTATTTGCCACTAAAAAAATAAGCCGTATGAAGGTGCAATAGAAAAATATTCAGACTTAAAAAATTATAAACAATAATCAGAGATCATTTATCACAAAATTAGTCAAATGATAAGGCTAATATATTTCCATTAGTATATGTGTGTATATTTATACGCATATATACATATACAAACCTATACATATATACATGTGTATATATACGTGTATACACACATACACTAATGGAAATATACTGGCCTATATACATATAAATACGTAGTATGTGTGTGTCTTTATATATATGTTAATTCTTCACTTATATTACTAAGTCAGTTTTTAACAAGCATCTAATAGATTTTTATTACAAGAAACTTGAATCTCTATACCTTAGAAACTATGGATAAAGTGCTTTCGGTGGAATGGCCCACTCTTCAGACGCTTTCTGCAGAACTATTGAATAGATTCTCAATGGGCATAATTGTGACAGTAAGGCTTGGTCCTCTAGGGAGTCATTTCTATATACATAATTTTAAATTTTCAATATTGAAAGATGATTTATGGCTGGGCATGGTGGTGCACGTCTGTAATCCCAGTGCTTTGGGAGGCTGAAACAGAATTGCTTGAGCCCAGGAGTTCGAGACCAGCATGAGCAACACAGCAAGACCTCTTCTGTGCAACAAAAAATTTAATTAGCCATACACCTGTAGTCCCAAATACTCTGGAGGCTGAGGCAGGAGTGATGGCAGCAGTGGTCTGTCTGAAGCATCATACTCCCTGGAGCCAGTAGGGGCAGGAACAGGTGGAAGCCCCATCCCCTGCTGAATTGGCAGGGCAGGAGCCCTATACTACTGGGCACACTTGCAGCCACCCAGCTACGGCTCTAGACCTGGGCATCCCTGCACTCCCAGGAAGACGCCCCTATACCCCACTGGTTCAGAAGTACCTGATCCTGCTCCTCCCCACTCCTGGTGCCTGCTCCAATTTTGGAGCAAGGCTGAGGCTGAACCCAGGTGCTATCTCAACCTTGCCAGGTGTGCATGTGCTAAGGGTGGTGCTGACATGCCAGTCCTACCACCTTGGCCCCCTTTGAATTTTGGGCGCCAACAAGCAGGGGAGGGAGGCCGAGGGGTTGCTGAGGGCAGTTTGGCACAAGCCTGCAGGTGCCCTTTGGTAGGAACAGCCTGGATGGTGTGGATGGCATACTGATGGTGGCAGGAGGCAGACAGGCTCCTGGATGGAAGAGAGTGGGTCCTGGAGAAACTTCACCTTCAAGCCAGGGATTGCCTGAAGCTTGGGGGCTGGGCTGCCAGTTCCAAGTGGAGTCCTTGGCCCAGAGTGAGAACTTATGGTGCTTCTTCCCCCACCTACCCATGGCCACCCATGGACCAATCAGCACATACTTTCTCCCTTCTGAGCTCATAAAAACCCTGGATTCAGTCAGACTCAAACAGACCCTCAGGACTACCAGCTGCAGAAAGGAGCTACCCACTGTGGGTCTCCTTGACTCTTCCAGATGACTCACCTGTGGAAAGGAGCTACCCAATGCGGGTCTCTTCTCTGCTGAGAACTGGACACTCTTTGGGATGATCTGCCTGCAGAAAGGAGCTACCCACTGAGGGTCTTCTCTCCACTGAAAGCTGGACACTCATCAGGAAGGCCTGCATGCATAAATGAGCTACCCACTTTGGGTCTCCTGAGAGCTGTTCTGTCACTCAATGAAGCTCCTCTCTGCCTTGCTCACCCACCAGTTATTGGTACACCTCATTCTTCCTGGATGCAGGGCAAGAACTCAGGACCTGCCAATGGTGAAACTGAAAGAATTGTAACACAGACAGTGTTGAAACATGTCCCCACTCACCCCCTCCCGCCATGCAACATGTTGTGAGCAACGAGGAGAGAAGGGCTGCAGCCCTCTGGGATGCCCAGATCTAAAGGGTCCCCAAGCCAGGGCTGTGACACACTCTTTGGAGCTCTGCAGTTCCTGGCATCTCCAAGCTTCCAAGTGTCACAGGGTTCCCCTCATCCAGATGTGGGTGCCCACAGTGGAAGTCACATGCGGTACATCTGGTCCAGCTGCAGCCTCACATGGAGCTGCCACACCATAGCAGCTGGTGTGCCTGGCTGTGTGCAGTGTCTGGTCCAGCTGCAGCCTCACATGGAGCTGCCACACCATAGCAACTGGTGTGCCTGGCTGTGTGCAGTGTCTGGACCCCGCATGCACTTGCCCATACCCTCACTGCTTGGTGCCTGGCTCATTCTTGGCAGGTGTGGGATCTGGGCCAGTAGTGCAAGCCAAGCACAGCCTGCCAAGCCCAGTGGGCATTAGCAATACTCAGGCAGAAGGCGCCACCAGCCACAGAGGTTTCTGGCTGGCAAAGTGACACCCCAAGAATCCTGTGACATGAAGATCATATATCTAATGCCACCAACCATAAGAAAAACTCATCTGTTCTTTAACATACGCAGTTTGGTTCTTCCAATGAACTGTTTTTTTTTTTTTTTTTTAAATAACATTGACCTACAATTTAAGAAAAAAGTATTAGGAATTTAGCTTTTATTCAAAATTAAATAAGCAAAAGCAAAAATTTTAAGAAACTTTTACAAATTACTTACATAAAAGAAAGTTAATAGGGACAGTCACGAGTTTGCAACAAATAATTACAAAAGTTTCTAGGGCAGCATGAATATAAACCATGTTGTAGGCATGGTGATCTAACTGTGATATGAATAAGGCATAACTAACATTTGCACCAAGACGAGAATTAAAAACAAAAACAAATTTTAAAAGCTTAGTTCTATATTAAACTTCTGCTCTTCTCCCAGATCCTTAATGGGTTTATACAATGTATTTTTTTAAACAAACATATCATGTCAAACTCTAAGTTACATAAATGGGCAGTTAATGTGAAAAGCCCCCTAAAATGTACAAACTAACTGGTACTGAATTGAGTTATCCATTTACCTTTATGTACAGTTAAATGTAAACCATATTTTCACAGTTTTGAGTGTTTTATGAATAGATGCACAGTACCATGTCAGGTTTACAATTGTTCCTGAAAACTGGCTCTAGGTTCTGCATACAATGCCTGTCGGTCACTGTGATGCAAGTATTTACATAAATAAGAAACTGTGTCATAGTCAATGGTCAAGACAGTTCAGCAAGAGCAGTATTTCCAACAAAGAATGATCCTCAACACAATATTTTACATAGTTGTGCAAATATAAGCATTAGGACAGATATATCTGAGGAAATTCAACTTGCAAAAACTTGTATCACTACTCTTGTAAACCTGGGCAATAAATGACCCTCAGCAAGTTCTGCTCTCTATGGCTTTTTTTGTTTTAAAATTTTAAAGCCAGAGAAAATGCACACACACTACCCAACCCCCCACAAGCACACACGCATGCGCGCGCGCGCACACACACACACACACACACACTCTCTCTCTCTCTCTCACAGACATACAGAGTTCTTATTTCATTTGAGTATGGTACATAGTGCAACTTCACAATGTAGAGGTTTAACACACATTCAGTGCGTGTTTTTCTGTGCAAGTTCTTAGTGGTCTAAATCCTAGTTGAAGGTATTCATTTGCAGAACCACACGATTCAGGAGGTTGAAGGAAAAAAAAAGTTTCATTACATTTCTGAAACCAGCACTAGATGTGCAAAGGCAGCGGACAATCTGGCCATGAACACAGCCAGATTAGAGTAACTTTAAAGGGAGACCCAAGCAGTTAGTTACTTAGATTGGTCTCTAGAAAAATAGGTCAGTATATGCTGTATCTTTGTCAACCGTTCTTTCAAAGACTTCATTGACAAAACTGACAGCTGGTATCGTGGATCTACAGGGAGAACTGCAAGAAGCCACCAACACCACGCAGGTCCATTAGGAGTTGCCTAAAACAATGGACAGTTTATAGTATTAATAAAACAAGGATTTATGTAATAACAACAGTAGCTAACCACCAAAAAACTACTATTTATTGAGCACTTTTACTACGCATCAGATGCTATCTCCAATGTCTTTAACAATTATGTAAAGTATAAAATGGGAAAACTGAAGCTCAGAAACATAATGCAAATTGTCCAGGATCTCTCAGCTCATTCATGGCAGAGCCAAGATTCAAATCTAGACTTGACTCCATAGTCAACATGTGCTCTTTCCTCCTTACTGCACTGCCTGAAAGCAAGGTATCTTGACCTCAGGCTACCGACACTTTGAGCCAGATAATTCTTTGTTGTGTGTGGCTGTCCCTAGGTACTTATAGCACATTCAGCAGCATCTCTAACTACTATCTACCAGATGCCGGTAGCACCTCCCCACCCAGCTGTGACAGCCAAAAATGTCTCCAGATAATGCCAAATATCCTGCGGGGGCAACATGCCCCTAGCTGGCAGCCACTTTCTTGAGATATATATTTAAAGCATTAAGAAATGTTGAGATTTAAAATTTCCTCCAAGAATTATGGAACCCTAGGAAAGATGGAAGAAAAAGGCCCCAGTTTCCAATTTTGTTCAAAAAGGAAACATATCTCCAGTGAAAAAGTCCCTGTGATGTTGTAAAGGCTGACTACTAGCTACTGAAAAGACTAGAAATTTCCAAAAAAGATTTGTAAGCCACCTTCAGTGAACCTTGAATTGCTATTTATTGGACTTAAAATATAAAGCTTCAGAATGACAAAAGGAGCTAGGACATCAGTGCTGATCTCAGTAGGCTCCCTTCAGAATCAGATTCAGTTTCTACATTCATGTATTGTCTGCTGTCAGCTAAGCGTCACTACCTTCTCTTCTGCATTCCAGAGATGTTAGAAACTGTCTCCTAGAATCCCCTCTGCCATAGGGTTCCAGGTTAGGGTTGGCCAATGAAAGGCACTCTTGTAGGGTGTAGAAGCTGGAAGAGAAGCCAGTATCCTCGGAAGATTGTTGCAAAGTATGAAGATTGTTGCAAAGTATGAGCAGCAGCTTTCCAGAGAGCTCCTGGAAACCCCTACCTCCACTGCTAAGGTAGTAGTGGGGACTTACTGGGATTCCTAAGAATCATAGCCACTTCCCCACTAGTTCTTCAGAAGTACCCTGTTGGCTGTTCCTGAATCTCTGGTGGCAAATTCCCTGACTTCTGCAGGTGAAATCCCTGACCTTCCCCCCCACAGCTTCCCCAACTACTCTATAAAGTCCGCAACCTACATCAAAACCTTCATCCCAGGAATACGCAGGGTGGCTGCTTTTGCTTTCCTGCCCGAATCCTAACTCACGCAACATCGCTAACAGAAAGCAGTGATAGAGGACAGGATAATAAAAGGCAAGGGTGGTGAAGGTGATGGGAAAGTTATATTGAATTTTTCTATAAGCTGTTTTTTTATCATGTGAAATTTCTTATTCAATATTGTTCTTATCAAAGCCTATTTCTGTGACGTTTAATCAGATTCAAGTAATCAGTTAAAACAAATAGATAACAACTGATAATATACTAAACAGAATGAATACTAAATGTGGAGATGGCCTATGTTGGTGTTTCAAGTTCAGGTGAAGGATTCAATTGGGATTCAGACAGATGCAGACTAACCCTTAAAAATGGGAATGAGGCAGTGTGCATTACAATGAGATCTATTATTTCTCCATCTTCACATATTTACTGACAGCCATTCCTTTGTACAATCTATCACCTTCTGACCAAAAACATTTAAATTCAAAAATACTTATGCCTAAAACGCAATGCTTTAATGAGTCTATGATCATATTTTCCAGGAGCCAGACCCTTCTTTTATGCCTCTTGCAGTTTTGCTTGCACAGAAAGTTCCAGATACACATTCATTAGACTAAGCTTAAGTGTAAACCCTAAGTATCAGCAAGACTAAAAGAATAACAGTTTCATAAGAAGCGAAGTATTAAACATGAAGAGGCAAAAATGAGTAAGTCGTGGGGTCAAATGTTGGGAGACAGAAAAATGAGAAAAGATTTTTAAATGTATAGAAAATTGTAAATCTCTCTGCTCTCAAAGAATGACAGCAACAGGTGATGGGTTTGAAGGCATAGTTGTCTCACAGTCACAGTTTCTAGATAGTAACATCCCATTTTTAATTCCTTACCCCTCCTAAAAGTCCTCTTAAGGACTTCCTCCCTCTCTGGCACTCTCTCCTACAGGCATCTCAGCTGACACCTATTTCCAGCCTCTACTTGTATGGAATGCACTAGATACCACTACTCTAGAGAACTCATGATTCTAAAGATGAGGTGGGGATGGGAGCAGGGGGCGGTCAAAGAAAATGTAGTACAGAAAGGACAATAAAAAAATGAAAATGTCAAAGTCTGCAAATTTGGGTTTACATCGACCTGACTTTGGGGGAACAGAAAAGCCACCATACCTGAAGGTTTTCTTCCCTCTCGGGCATTGATCCAAAGTGCTGAAGAATTTGGCTTCGAAATCTGTCTCGTAAATTCTGAAACCAGCTGCAGGCTTGAGAGTAGACCAAATCATGAAGCTCTCTGAGATTCTTAATCTCATCTTCATTCTCAACCTAGAAATACAACAGTCAGTAAGACTTCTGTGTCTAATCCCCCATCCATATGCCAACTGACACAAATGGAAAAAGGCATCAGAACAACAGGGCAATACCTGTTTCAGTGCTGACCTCCCAGAGAGTATTATTCCTATGCTATAATACATATTTCTGCCTCATACAGGGCTAACTGACCATACTAAAGAAAGCCAGCAAGGCCTGACCTATGCCTCATCTCACTGACTTAGCAGTGCAGTATTGCAGAACCCTACTGACAGCCCCCAAGTGGGAGGACTAAGACTGAAAGTGAATTTTGGTTCAAAGGTCTACACTAATTTGGAATTCCTTTTGTCTTTACGAATCAATGGCTTTTGAAAGCAGTGGAACAAAAAAGTGGATGATAGTTGCTACAAAAAAAGAAAAGATGAGTGATTAGGGTGCAGATGACATGACAGAAAGTAGTAACAGGAGGAGTTCACGCCCAGTTACATCTTTTACTAGGAAACTGGGTCAAAGCACAACAACAAACAAAAAGCTACAACAAATAACTTAGCATATAAAGCCAGTAAGTGAGAGAGGTAATTACACAATGATGAACTTCTGCTCTAAATGCCCAAGGCTACAGCTACCTCTGGAACCCCCTCAGTATATTCTTTAGACTACTGGGTCACTAAACTGCAAATGTAAAATTAACTGCATCAGTCTTCTACCTTGAGATAGAAGAGTCATCTCAGAGAACACAGGTAGGAAGATCTAAGTTTAACTCCTCCATCTTATATTGATTTCTTTAATGCACACTTACATCCCACTTGCTATGTGCCAGGTTGTGCTCGCTCTCATATACACAAACTCATCCGAACAAATACCAGGCCTGACTCAGTCTTTCATACTTCAAGGATGACTCATATAAAAACAACAAAGAAACTCCGAAAACATTTTGAAATATAAAAATAGGACTACAGCACACAAGAGACAAAAAAAAATACTTTTTACTTTTGAAAGATTTGAAATGAAAATTAAAACTAAAGCTTAAAGAGCGTCTCCTTTTCGCAAAGCTATATGAATGTACTTAATGCCACTGAACTGTGCACTTAAAGATGATTCAAATGGTAAATTTTATATATATTTTACCACAATACAAATAATTTTTTTTTTAATGTAGAGGGGCCATATAATTGAATAATTTTGGTCTTGGAATGCCAATATAGGATTCTGGCCCTTGCTGACATACATTGAACTTGATAGAAGCAAGAAATAAGCTTATGCCTTGTTCAGTCTTTTTTTTTTTTTTTTAAGCATGTGCTTTGCACCCTCACAAAATTCAAGAAAACAAATGACAGGCTCTAATAAATAAAGAATGATAACAATTATAAGAGTATATAATGAAAAATGGAGCTGGTCAAAAAGCAGGCAGAAACTTTAAAAGCAAACTTTACTGTAATAATTTTTAACAGAACTTAAAATTTCATTAGAAAACACAGAAAACAGAATCATTATAAGAATAAGAAAATTTGCTATAAAAAACAAATTTGAGAAGTTTTTCCAGAATGGACAAGAAAATCACTATATAGATTAAGACATTATGATGAAAAATTACCGGTCATTCCTAGGACCATAAAGAGGACTCAAGTTTATAAACATCAAATCTATAATACTTTCAAAATGTGATTCTATTACCTACATGTTTATAAGTATTAATACATATAGTCATGTTATTATGTTACTTAGCCATATACTCAAGTGATTTTGTCATCAAACCCAATATATGAAGACATAAATTTACATAAAACTGAAATAGGGTAATTAACTTTATAAAGGACATGACCTTTAGCAAATGATTCCATTAACCAAGTACACCTAAGGCACAGATTATATCAATCAACTCAAAATTTCAAGTTGCACAATACTTTTGGCCAACTGCACAAGGCAAAGTACCCCCATAGCATTTTTATAGTAAGATAGGACATGCAACATCAGACTAATCAGGTTTATCAGCAGAGAGGCAAATGGCATAATGATAAAGCTCAGAGCCTGAGTCGGGGAGTTTGCCTTAATCATTTTTATTACATTACCTACAGGATCTTAGGCAAATTAATTAACACCTCTGAATTGTACTTTCCTCATCTACTATTTCATAGAGTTCTGGAAATTCTATGAGTTAATGTTCATGAAAATACCTAATGCCAACATCCAATAAATGTTGACTGAAATGAAAGGCCTAAACAGATCAATGAACAAGTGATGGTGTAAGATCTATGTTTTTATAATGCCTTTCCAAAAGAAACTGCCTTCGATTTGATATTTATAGCATCATAAGGGCCAACTTAACCCTATTCTAGAAAGACATCACAAAAACCCTACATTGGTAAGATATCACCAACATGTACACTGATAGTGCTTTCTATGTCTGCCCCAGGGTCTTCACACAGCATTCAACTCTATTTAATCATGAGGGTTCTCTTAGGCACAAGAACAACCTTAATATGTAAAACAATTCTTACAAGATTTGACGTATTTACATTTACATCAAATTTCAATCTATTAATTACATCAGCTTCACCTACTAATACTTTCAATAAAACAGGGCAGAAATGTAAACCTTTCAAAACTTAGATGGCTGGAAGTTCAACTTACTCAACCACCATTGTTAAGTATTTAACATGTGTATCACACATGTCCATGTGTACATACACACATACATTCTAGGCACTGGGCTGGTTGTTAACCCTGTAGAAATAAAGAGAACCTATGTTCTAGTCTTCTAAGTTCTCTTAGAATGTGCCAAAATTTCAGAGCAAGATACAAAAAGGTTAACTTGGAGCTCATTCTCACAGGTAACAGTGGTAAGGCTCTCTAATAAGAACTGGTTCTTGTGCCTAGAAAATAGCCTGCATGCCTGTACCAAACCCTGCAACAGAATATACTAAAGCATGTTGAAAAAGCACGTTTTAAAATACCTTAACATCTTCCAGATATTCAATGTCGGCAGTGCAATATCCATCTTTCATTCCTCTTTTTAAAACCCTGAACCGCTTTCCTCCAACTGTATCAACCACAGACCTTCCATCAGGTAAGAAATGCACATTTCTAATTTGTAACATACAACCATAATCTGCAAAACTAAAAGAAAACCTTGATTAGTAACAAAGGTGAAACATAAACATGTAAGTTCTCATCCATATTGAAAGGTCTAACCTAAATACAAATATTTAAGTTCACAAAAAGCATACCTATTTTGTGTATCACTGACACACATGCCAAACTGTTTGGTTCCAGTCTGTATACTTCTTCGAATCATCAATCTATATCTTGGCTCAAATACATGGAGAGGGCAAGGCACAGTGGGGTAGGCCATAGTGCAAACAAATATTGGAACATTCTTGGTCAAGCTGAGGGAGAAACAGTTTAATTATTATATATTATACAAGAAAAATATTACGAAGCACACACAAAAAATAAGTGAGGTTTACAACAGTAATGAACTAATGTTAAAAAAAATGAATTAGTTCTAAATAAGGTGATTTTTTATTCTTAGCAAGAACAAGAATCAGCACCCTGTTCTTTAAGCTCTCATTGATGAAATATTAATACTAAAAATCTGCTGTAATCCTCTTATTTGTAAGAGTAAATTGAATTTTAAGACACCAGATTACCTTACAGAACTAAGTATCTTTATGAATCAAGATAATTTATTATAAATAACATTTTACATTAAAAATCTGTTTTAACTATTTATAACATATGACAGTAAATATCTTTTATCCAAACACTCATACTCTTAGATAACAGTAAGAAAAAGCGAACTCCCACAAGACAAAAAGCAAATAATTAAAAATTCTTTGGCATTAAAATATTTTCAAATGTAAGATCAAAAAACATATTCTGATGAGATAACATTTTTTCCAAGTAATTAAAATGATATAACATTTTTCATTGCCAGACGGGTAGAAAGCAAGAGAATGATAAAGGCAATGCCTAGTCCTGTCCAAGGCATAAAAAAACTGGTAGCATGGGAACAGTCTGAAACAGCATAAGCATGCTAAAGAACATGGCTATAGACAGAAACCTTATGTCGTTGGTAGGAAACGCTCATGTTCTTGGAACCAACCAGCTTACTTTCAGATATGAGTGGACAAGTGCTATATGAATGTTCACTGTAGCAATGTGGATAGTAACCAAAATGTAGAAGCATAAATAAGAGACTAGTAAGATCAATTATGGTACATCCATAAAATGGAATACTGTATTCCATGTATTTCCATTAAAAGATGATGTGTATGACACTGAATTAGAAGAAATGTTTGTATTAATGAGAGGAGGTTTTTGATATAGATCATGAGTAACATGATCCCATCTTTGTTTAAAGCTTATTTATACACACTGCATTCAAGTTTGGAAATATATATACCAAAATGCCAATAGTTGATTCCCTTTGCAGGGTTGCAGATTATGGCTTTTTTAAATGCCGATTTGTATTTTTGAGTTTTTTTTTCAAAATTACCAATTACTTATATAAACATCGTATTTCATAAAACATGTTTAAAATATGTGTTTTAAAACACAGCCCCATTAATCTGCAGCTGAACCCCCTGATACTTTTCTCTCCAACATGCAGCTCTCTTTCTGTGTGACTACCTCATCTGTCCTTTGAGTCTACCACCATTCTGTGGGCAGACTGGTTGTGTCATTGTGTTTAAAATTTCAAAAGTATAACTGCTGCTTCTTAAATCTAGATGCTTCAGTATTGATCAAAAAGGTTTATAATTGTCACATCAGAGCATTTTATAAATCACACAGTTAAATATCAATTCTGTGAGAAGACAAAACAATATCTATTTCTATAAAGAGTGGAAATCTTTCTTCTGTTGAAGGCCCCTGGATTACTGAAGACATCTGATGGGCACATGTTGAAAAACAAGAGTCTATAAGCACAGGTTTTATTAGAAAGTAACATATAAAATGTTCAATTTATATTTTGAAAAATAATGGTAACAAAAAGTTGTCAAATAAAACAGCACATAAAAATTATAATTTTGTTCAATTAAAGGAAAGCAAAAGAAATAAAGAAATTTAAAACCCATGAATAAAATTTAAAGAGACCCAAGTGACTGGTCAAAGAGAGAAAGACATTTAGGGAAAAGAAAGGAAGAAAAACAGGAAATAAAAACAGAAAAGGGACACCAAGCAATGCCTGGTCCTGCGTACCCAGCTCCATCAGCTGCTGTGTTCTCTTCAGAGTGGTCTGCATTACCCAATCCCAAGGTTGCCTCCAAGATTTTCACCCTCCGGACACCAACTCAGTTCTGCTCCCAGTCAGTATCTTCATTAATTGAGGATTTGGCCCTGAACACACCTCTTCCAATTTCAGTCTCAGATCCCAAAGTTTGGAAAGCCCCCTTCCGGGCCTCCATGTGACAACAAATCCCCTGCTAATCTAGGTTATTGACCCTCAACCTTCCTCTTGCCCAACCGACCATGACACATAAGAGCCACCATTATCATCAATGTCACTGTCACCAGCACCCCCTCTCTATTTCCCATTCCACTGCCTGATGTAGGAAATTCCTCCCCCGCCTAAAACACTGCTTCAGCCCACAGAGCTGAGTCAGTAACTCCCTATAAAACATCCAGATGTTGCCAAGTGAACATATAAAATTCTGTCTGTTTAAGACAGTGGAAACTGACCAGTACTTCTTGACTAGACTGAGAACTAAAGACAGGATCCAACTTGCGGTGAGGTTTCTCCTTACTATAAAAGGGTAGCAGTTCATAATTTTTTTTATGAGAAGAAACTTACTGTGAGAGTTCAGCAGTTTCTTCATCATATATTTTTTTTCTCTCAGACAGTTCATCAGGCAGATACTTCACTATTAATTCTTCCAACAGCTGTGTGACACAGTACCTCCTATCTGCTAGATACTAAAAGACAATATTATTTTACATTCCAGCAGTGGTTTTCCTACAGTATTAAAAAGGCAACACAGTTAACTGATATATTAAAGCCTTTATTACATACTTATACCATCAATTCTGGATTAATTAGTGAGGGGAACATTACAGTAGATGATGCTAAGCAAAAAAAAAAAAAAAAAAAAAACCTGTCTGAGGCTTTGCTCAAGTGCAATAAAGATAGTTGGCTGCAACCTGAACCAAGCCCTGTCCAGAAGAACTGCTTCCTGCTGTGACCACAGCTCCTCTGTTAGGGACAGAGGGCCCTGCCCTGCCATCTTCCATAACATCTTCCTTTTCCATCTGACAGCTCATCGGTACTAAACTATCATTTTAACTGAGATACAAAAAGGAGATAAGGAATAAATAAAATAAGGCAAAACAGCACATTTGCCTTACTGAAGAAAAGCAAAACATCTGTTTTGTTCCCAATTTCAGACACAGTCTCTAGGTAATTTTTCTTTCATTGTCACCCACTATTGAGTTGAGCAGCAGACCTCAATTCTGTCCTTGAGTGACCCAAGGAAGGTGAGTTTCTTGGGACACTATCACTCAGACCCTCATCAAGATTTTGCTTTTCCTTTACGATCCACCCCAGCTCTAATAAAATCAGACACTTACACTGCCCCTAAATACTATCCTCATGCATTTTTGTGTCATTCCCTATTCCAACTTATAAAAGCCATCTCTCTCACTCCTGCCTATTAAAAACTATCCACCCTTTAAGGTCTGACTCCAATTGTATCTTTCTCAAAAACTCTTCCTTAATTATTTTTTTCTAACTTAAGAACCCATCTTTTACTGTTTATACCACATAGAAGGCATTGTAGAGTGTAGTATATGTACACAGATACATTACATCTCTGCAGTTAAACTAAAAATTGCTTAGGGTAGGGCCAGGGACACGGTCAGAGTGTATGCAAAGAACTTTGTAAAAATAAAAAGCCCAATACATATTTATTTCATAAAACTAATGAGGATTGTCTCCCAATCACAAGACAAAGCCATCCCTGAATCTGCAGTCAGTAAAAACGAGGGTTTTGTCATTATCCAATGAAGAACAGATGAGGAAATGTGAGAGATTGGGAAATTGGTGGTGGTTTTCAAAGTTGACCATGAATCAGGGCTTGTTAAAACACAGACTACTGAGCCCTATGCCAGAGTTTCTGAGCATCTGGAGTAGGGTCCAAGAATCTATGTTCCTAACACGTTCTCAAGTGACAGATGCTGCTGATCAGGGGAGCATGGAGAGAGGTGCCCCTTGAGCAGGTAATATATACACAGATTAATGTTTATCATAAAATTAATCAAATTACAGACATTATAAAAGCAATTCCATTATCATTTTCTATTAAGTTAATAAAGATGTTTAAAAATCTAGGGAAATACAGCTTCTCTTACATTACTGATAGGGATCTGAATCAATGTAACATTTCTGGGGATGAGGCAATCAAACAAATGGTTTTAAGGGCTTTATAAATATATGACTTTTGATCCAATAATTTACCTTCCAAAATTTAACCTAAGGAAATGGTCAAAGATGCATACAATCATTAATTTTAAATGATGTTGGAGAAAGCATGATATATTTAAAAAAGAGAACAAGAAACTTTATATATACAACAAGAAGAAGTGTTAAATCATTGGACTATGATGCTGCTATAAAAATCATGTATCTAAAACAGATGTAAATGGAAAAATGAGCAAAATAAAATGACAAATAGGAAAAATGTAAAACTGAAAGCATATCAATATTTATTTATTTTATTTTATTTTTTGAGACGGAGTTTCGCTCTTGTTACCCAGGTTGGAGTGCAATGGCGCGATCTCGGCTCACCGCAACCTCCGCCTCCTGGGTTCAGGCAATTCTCCTTCCTCAGCCTCCCGAGTAGCTGGGATTACAGGCATGCGCCACTATGCCCAGCTAATTTTTTATATTTGTAGTAGATATGGGGTTTTACCATGTTGACCAGGATGGTCTTGATCTCTTAACCTCGTGATCCACCTGCCTCGGCCTCCCAAAGTGCTGGGATTACAGGCTTGAGCCACCGCACCCGGCCAATATTTTTAAAAAGTATATGTATTTTGAATTTACAAATTATATTATGCATGAAGGGTATCTTCAATGCTACCATTGCAACTGCCTCTCAGAATCACAGGCTTTAGCCTGATTGTAGGTGATCTACAGTCACTCAAGCATGATTAAGAAGGTGCTGTCTTCCCATCAATTACAGAAGACACCCACTGAGACCTAGCTACTTTCCTATCACAGGTTATTAGCACTGATCACTGACTGACTCTAAAGAAATGGTACAGGAAGCTGTACCTCCCTCTCTTTAATAGTATGTCAGTTATACTTTTAAAAATACGCTTAATGTATTTTTCAATCTCTATTTTTTAAAGAAGGAATATCTCTAATTAAAGCAATAAATCTACTATTATGCCCAAAACTGCAATTACTTTTGCACCAACCTAATAGTTAATCTGGAAAAACAAGCATCGTAGTTATCCTGGGGAGTATCTAAATGAAGTCTGGAAAAATAGCATATTTAGAGTACTTCATTTAAAAACATTAAGCATATTACCTGAAAATGTAACTAATGAACTCTTTTAAAAATAAATTTATCTGGTGTTTCCTGATTTTGAGAACATTCTGAATATGCTTTTGCTTTACATATCAACTTGTTATATATGTAAGATACATATCAAACATAATAACAGACATGCTATTATGACATCCATACTGAGTTGTTTTCTATATAGAAAATACTATATGTATATCCATAATGGTTTTATTAATTTTTCGATTCATATTTGGAAGATACTTTTCTTTAAGCAATCCTGTCAATTATCAGAGATAGAATCACCTTTCCTAATCAATGCTACCATTGCAACTGCCTCTCAGAATCACAGGCTTTAGCCTGATTGTAGGTGATCTACAGTCACTCAAGCATGATTAAGAAGGTGCTGTCTTCCCATCAATTACAGAAGACACCCACTGAGACCTAGCTACTTTCCTATCACAGGTTATTAGCACTGATCACTGACTGACTCTAAAGAAGTGGTATAGGAAGCTATACCTCCCTCTCTTCTTTCCAGTCTACCACTTTTCTAGAGCTGCACTGTCCAATGTGGTAGCCACTAGTCACATGTGCCTACTTAAATTTAAGTTAATAAAATAAGAATATAGTTTCTCCGTCACACTAACCACATTTAAAAGCTTAATAGGCATACATGGCTAGTGGCTAACATATCAGACAGCAAAGATATGGAGCATTTACATTGATGCAGAAAATTCTACTGAACAAAGTTGTTCTAGATATTAAGGAACCTGAAACAGTCTACAAATCTGGCTTATCATGGAGGGTTGGAGGCAGGAAAATAGTGTTTCCCCAATATAGTCATCACCAAAATTGAAATTATCCCTAACCAGATGACTAACCATATTCACTCTTGTTTAAAAAAAAAAAATTTAAGTACAAGGAGTTTGGTCTTGAGTATCTGTCTTCTTTCCCCCCATCCTCTTCAACCTCACTTTTCTCCAACACTAGCATATGGGTAATAAAACATTATCCTTGTTAGTCACTCAGCATACAGAATGTAATTCTGTACATGAACATCACTATTTTTATGGCTGAGCAGAAATTAAACAATGCTGCCAAACTTAAGACCAATAAGCAGACACATATACAAATATTTACCTCTTTTAAGCTTTCTTTGCAAAGAGGACAATATGGTGCATGATCTAAACAACGCTCCAGACAATTCTTACAGAACGAATGTCCGCAAGGGGTTGTTACTGGCTCAAAAAACAACCTGAAATCAACAAAATACATTTAGTTTTCACATTAAACTATTTATTGGAAAAGCTTGTACTACTATAGAACTGTAACACTAATCTCTATTTAAAGGAAGAAGAAGGAGGGCCCAGCAGGCAGGAAGGAGGGAAGGGGCAGTGATAAATGTAACCATACCCTCCCAGAATGTTTTAAAAGTTCTCCATCAATGAGGCCTCCTGCCAAGGCCCTAGAGATATCCTGAATAATGCCACAGTCCTTGGATACTTTGGCTACTAAGCACTTGAAATGTGGCTATGATACATGCAGTGAATATAAAATATATACCAGATTTCTAAGACTTTGTGCAAAATAATGTAAAATACATCATTAATAATTATTAGTTAGCTATTGCAGAGCCTTTAGATTCCCATTTTAATATCAACTTAAAAATGATTCCTTAATAGGTTTATAAGACTCTTACGCTATAAAACTCATACAAAGAATGATCTAATAAATAATGCAGTTGAATTATAAAGAAATAATATTAGGCCTAATATTAAATGTATTACTCAAACATTGCAGAAAAACTAGTTTTACTTATTTTCTGAAGCATGGTATTTCTGAATTTGCTAGAAATAGATTTAGAGGTACTTTAGGAACTGTTTAGTATAATCCCCTCACTTCACAGGTGAAGAAACCAAGGCTCAGAATTAAGACTTGCTCAGGAATTTAACTTCTACCAGCCTAGTGTGACCAGCACTAGGCCTCCATAAGAATCTTCTGATCCTACACAATTCATGTAAATGAGAAATGTTATTTCAAAACATTCAGTCTTTTAGAATTACAGCATTCTGGATAATGGAAATCCTTATCCTTATGTTACTTTAAAAAGATTTTATGGTTGATATACATTAATAAGATAGGATCATATACATTAAATATATAATTAGAATTCTTACCCAAATTTAAAACCATGGAGATAGGTTAAGTTTCAATAATAATATCTATAATTTTCTTAGTACTTTATAATTTCTCAGATTCTTTTTATACTGAAGTCATGTGTTTTTTATAACACTGAGATGCGTACTATGCAAAGACTGACCCCACTTTCTAACTTAGAAAACCTGATGTTCAGAGATTCAGTTATTTGCTCAGGCATGAAAGGTAAACCCAGGACTAAAATTCATGTCTTTGTATTTTTATTCCAGCATTCCATTACTTTACATTGTCTATTATTATCTTTATATATATTGTATTTTATTTATACTAATATAAAATATTCATTTTCTGTAAAGTTTTACATGCTTACCTCATGCAGAGAGAACACTCGAAATCTGAGACATCAATTAATTCTTCTGGAATATCACCATAAGCTAATGAAAACATACAGACTTCATTGGGAGTTTCTATTAAAACAAAGACATGGGGTTTCTTCTTTAGGAAAAATTTTAAAGACTATTCGGACTAAATTTATTTTATCTAAGTGTAGAGCAAAATTTTTACCTCCTTGTTTTTTAAGCTTATTTCTTCCATCTTCATTTACAATCACATCCTGTTCTAAAAGAGACAACTTTCTTTTCAGCAGAACACCTTTTTCTTGAACAGACAGAACAGGTTCTGAGGACACTCTTTTTAAACGGTCTTCTCTGGCAGACATTTCTGTTGAATTTATAGACTGTGCTGACTGAGCACGGTTTAAACTTCCTTTGACGGGCTCTGAAGTGACTTCTGGTATTTCTTCACTCTACAAAAACACAATAAACAAAGGTAACTGTATTTCTTTACTATCCTTTATTCCTCTCACCAAGAATCAAACTGAAATCAAATTTCAATGCCTTATAATGCTCATTTTAATGTTCATTTAATAGCACTAACTTGATTCCAACACTGTGACAAGTAAATGATTTTTGCCAGCACAGTTGGCCCTCCGTATCCATAGGCTCTGCATCCGTGGGTTCATCCAACTGGGAATAGAAAATATTCTAAAAAAAAGCCTGAACATATATAGACTTTTTTTCTTGTCATTATTCCCTAGACAATACAGTATTTACATAGCATTTACATTGTCTTAGGTATTATAAGTGACCTAGAGATGAGTTAAGCATACAGGAGGATGTGCATAAGTTACATGCAAATACTGTGCCATTTTATTAATATACCAGGGACTTGAGCATCCTTGAATACTGGTATCTGTGAGAGGTCCTGGAACAATCTCCCACAGATACAAGGGACGACTGTACTTACACTGCCCTAGAAATCAAGCTGACTTATGTTATAATGAGGCTTAAAAGTAGTCATGCTATTACACAGCTGTTCCTATCCTGAGGAAACATAAATGCAATGTTCTATACATATTTTTAAAGACCCAAATATTGTCTGACATTCACATAACCTAAAATTGTGACTAATTAGCAAGTATTTTACATAAAAAATTTTAGTGTAAAATAAAGGCTATGGAAAAAATTCTACTAAGATAACTAACTAGGTTAAAAGTACTTAAGTAGATGCTAGTACTTCAAACTAGGAAAATGAAGATCTGAACTGGTAAAGAAATAGATATGCTAAATTCATGATAACTTCATCTCACCCCGTACCTGCTTTGGGCTAGGCTCATTGGGAGACTGAGACTCTTCCATCACTGAAGGAAAATCAAAAGGTCTGTTTTTAGTACATGGTAATGAACTCCAGGAAGATTCCTTCAGGCCTTCTTTTAAGTTTTCAGGTAATAATAAATCACATAAAATCTGCAAGACAAATATTAAAAGTAGAAAATATAAAGTATTTTGTTAAGGATTATTTCATATAAATTTACCTAATTAAGAACATTTAGAAAGTTTGTAGCAGACATTATTTTTAATGAGCAGGAGAGGAACAAGGTAGGCAACACCATAAGTTCAAAAGTCTTGCAAAACTAGCTGTGCCTCATAGAGTCAAATCGCCCATAAAAACACTATTTAAAACTTTGAAAGGAAGGCATGGCAGTACTTATCAGGGTAAAGGTTGACCTTTTAATAAAAGGACTATTAAAAATTCTTTAAAAAAATATTAAATGTCTATCTCTGAATCTTTGTGAGCCCTATTCTATCTAAATCGTTTATTGTTCACTTCAATGTATATTTCTAAGATTGGACTTGAAGCACTTATGTGAACTAAACCTTGGACTTCTAACTACAAAACTACACAACTTCCTGTACTTAATCTCTCACTGAACAGCTAACCTGTGTGGGCAGTTACTGCTGCCCAACACTTGGTTAGGAGCACCCAATGGCAGCTTTCCTATGATAGCTAGGAATTAAACTGGGAGACAGCTGGAGAATCAAATTTCTGGGTGCTTATCTCAAGAATACACCTAACACTCCAACAGAAACAGGGTAAGTTAAGAAAGGGGAAGAACGTGGCTAGAATAAAATGAAAGGAATTCTGATATTTTTGCTTGTCAAATAATCTGTATTTATAGGTACAGCACACACTTCTTAAAGTCTAAATTGGAGGTTCAGTTTTTCAGGTGTTAGCTTTCAAATACACAAAAATCAGAATGAATCACAAATCATTCATGGAAGTATAAACAATATAGATAAAAATGTGTATCTTTGGTAGGTGCTCAAATATTCCATTTAATAAGCAAACATTTAAAATTCTGTATATACACATTTACATTTCTTGTGTTTTAAGAAATGTACTAAACATACATCTACCCTAGAACCCAGCAATTCCACTCCTAAGTTTTTGCCAAAGAGATGTAAAAACATATGTCCACAAAATGACTTGTACAAGAATACTCATAGCAGCTTAATTTATATCAGGAAAAAAATACTGGAAACAATCCAAATGAAACTCACTACTAACTGAAAACCACAAATGCCATTATGTTCATATAATGGAATACTTAGTCAACAATAAAAAAAAGACTAGATGTATCTAAAAAATATTATGTTCAGTGAAAAAAAAAACCCAGAAACGAAAGAGTACATACTGTATGATTCCATTCCTATGAAGTTCTAGAACAAGCAACACTACTCTACAGTGACAGAAATTTGAACAGTAATTGCCTCTAGGACCAGGGGATAGAGGATTTACTGGAGAGGAGATGAAGGTGCTTTCTAGGGTGATGGAAATAGTCTCTGTTTTGATTGGGATGCTGTTAGGTATATACATTTTTCAAAACTGAGTGAAGAGTAAAATCCATGCATTTTATTATATGAAAATTATACCTCAGCTTAGAAAAAGTATATCGGAGAAAAACAAAATATTTTAAAGCATCACTTGTTTTGCAGCCACCTGATCCTATTAACCAACCAACAAATAGATACAGAAATAGAAGAATGCCTGGCAGCGTGCAAAATGCAGAAACACATGCTCTCAAAGTTTGCAATCTCAACAAGAAAGTAACACTAACAAACATGGAACAGTCAGAAAACAGACAATAGTAAACTTTTTTCTTAAATCAGTGGGCTAGAATGTATATACAAACAAACCTCATAGAGGATATACCAATGTCAGCTGGATTTCTTAGGGAGTTGAAATCTGAGAATAATCTCAAAGTTCTCATGCTTCAGCATACATAAGCATTTCCTGGGATGTTTCTTAAATGACTGCTCCAATTTCAGACATTCTGATTCCAAAGACTTGTACTTGGTGGGCCCAGGACTCTTTAAGGTTTAACATGAACCCCACATGATTCTGACAAAAAGCCACACTCTAAGAAACACTGCAACTGTGATACATAATGTAGCATGTGTTGAGTATATGGAGGAGAGCACCATGACTGGGACCCTGAATTTGTATTAGCATAGCCTTTCTTAAAGAATTTTTTGAAGACCCTACTCTTTCCAGATATTCTGTGAATAAGTCTGGCAAGAGCTGAATACTAGTTTATTTCATGTTGGTATATCAAAAGCTCTGAGATGTTCTGAAGAAACCTGTTTAACTTCGCTTAACCCAATGCTTCCCAAAGTCATTTCATCAGACAGCTCCCTTCCTTGTACCTCCCCTATTTAAAAAAAATTAGTAACTACTAACATACCACAAATAGCACAAAGTATGGAAAGTGGCATACAGACTACTTAAAAAAATAAGGCAAAACAAGTGAACTGGGTCAATGCTATTGGCAATCCTGGGGAGTAAGCAGAGGTTAGAGCTGAAGTGAAAGGCAAAAGGCAGGTCGATAAGGCTTCTGAGCAGGAACATCATGACAGCAATGTGTCTTTAAGGACCATCAGGCTGGATCAGATTGAACAAACTATGAGAAAACTAAATTAACCAAAAAAAAGAAAAAAGCATTGACATATCTGTGGAGGAAATGTTTAGATTTCACTAATAACTCAATATACAAAGTATACGAACCTGAAAATCACTCAAATTGTCACATTTGTTCATAAGTTAGATTTATCTACTACATATGTTCTTATTTCAACTTCTATTAGCATTTTTTTAAACCTGTCTGTCTCTTATCCCTACCTTGAACTATAATTGTTGGTAAACTGATTACCTTTTCTACTTGCAGCTTTGCAGGTGCAAAATCTTCATCAAGGGCTAAGCACTGAAGAAAGAGTTGTAAGGCATCACCTAAAAAACCAGCATCGTGGAGTACTTTTCCTTTTCTGAAGTAGACCTTCAATAAAAGCACATATATAAAATTTTTGTGATACGATTCGCTATTTAAGAGATCATTATTAAGTAAAGAAAAACAAGATTCTGCTCAGGAACACTGATTTTGGGCCAGACACAGTGGCTCACACCTATAAGCCACTGTGGGAGTGGGACTTTGGGAGGCTGAGGAAAAACGATCACTTCAGTTTAGGAGTTTAAGACCAGCCTGGCCAACATGGTGAAACCCCATCTCTTCTAAAAATATAAATGTTAGCCAGGCTTGGTGGTGTGCACCTGTAATCCCAGGTACTCAGAAGGCTAAGGCACAAAAATCACTTGAACATGGGAGGCAGAGGTTGCAGTGAGCTGAGATCACACCAAGGCACTCCAGCCTAGGTGACAGAGCAAGACTCTGTCTCAAAAGAAAAAGAAAAAAAGAAATGCATATTTTGAAATTCTGAATAATTGAGACCAAAGCATTTTAAAGGCATAACTACACACTACCCTGGAGAAGTACTAATTGGGGAACTGAGGCCCAGACAAAGACTTTTTGACCAACGTTCCACAGCAAGTCAGAGCTTGGCAAGATCAGAAATACCATGTTCCCACATTTTAAAGAAATTATTGATTTAAATATGTATTTAATAAGAACTGTTTGAGGGAAAAGAAAATTATACATAAAATTATACTGACATTAAGAATGCATCAAGATTAAAGAAATATTAAAATGTGAAGAAAACTTTGTTTTAGATTTAGGTCAGTATGGTAAATGTCTTCCAAGTTATTAGGAATCTATAATTGCCTATGGTATTTTTTAAGAAAGCACTTATAGACACGATACTTTTCAGAAATCCCTTATTTTGTCTTTCATTTTTCTCCTTCATAATGTGAGTTCAGCAAGTTGTATGACAAAAATTAGAATACTATTAATTACTATTGATAAACCCAAAATTCATTTTGTGGGTTGGTCTACCAACAAAGTGTCAACTGGTAAACTTTAAATGTGCCTTGCTTATGTGATTAGAATGAAAGAGATTCTTAGTTAAATAACATCAGAGGAGCCTAAAGAACGTTCAAGTCTCTAACTCCTGGGTTCAAGTGATCCGTCTAACTCAGCCTCCCAAAGTACTGGGATTACAGGAATAAGTCACTGTACCCAGCTGAACCTACATAACTAGAGCACTAGGTATTTTATTTGGAGTCAACTAGCTATTTTGTTAAAACTCGTAACTGTGAATGAATGCATGTCCCCTATAGTTGAAATTTTACAATTTATGCAAATATAAAACAGTAATTTTACCTCAGGCCAATCTGGAAGTTGAAAAAGAACTGCATTTAAATCTTCTATGGCTGCTTTAAACTCTTGGAGACCAGCATACGATTCTGCTCTGTAAATTTTTACAATCAAGTCACTGGGCTCTGAAATAAATATTTTATAAAGATATGATTATTTACAAAATTACATAATCCACAAAATATGATCATACCAGATTAAGAAACAACTTAGTGATTCCAGGGTTAGTAATCAGCAAACTAAAGTCTACAAGCCAAGGACAGTACAGGCGCAACCCATTTTACATGTGGAATCTTATCTAGAAGTTGTATCAAATCATTGTCATTTTAGTGGCGGAAACTGTTCTTCAGAATATTGTAAATACTTTCATAATATGAATAACCACTCCTAAGAAAGCTTTTCTTTTTTTTACAAAGGGTAGTCTATAAATATTTTAAAGACATATGTCCTAGATGTTTAGATTTGCCTTTTTATATATAGTAAATCTTATATTTTTGCCCTCATTTCTAAATTCTAATTTATAAAAATAGCCATATGTGCAGCTATTGCATGTAAAATTCCTACAGTGACAAGGGAATGATAAAGGCTCAATCTTATGAGGGTATACAGTGGTCTTGATTCTGGAGGAAACTGGTTAATAAGCATTGGCCCAATACTTAGTAATCACCAAACTAAAGTCTATAACTAAACTATAGGTTGCACCTATACTGTCCTTATTAATAAGTATTAGCCCAAATTGGTTAATGGTATTGGCCCAATTCAAAATATATTTAAAATACTCCTGAGAAAAAAAGGCTTTGTTATTCATTTCACTATCATCTACATCTGTACTCAAGAAACCAAGTTATTATCCTATGGCATTCAGAATTTCAGACACTTAGCTGGTTCACTGAAATTGCTGCCATCAATTACTAAAGGTACAGATTCTAAAACTGACTTCAAAGCAAGAAATTAATTTTTAATATAGCAACAAATGACATTAACTTGACTCTTATTTTAAAGCTATCTTTGAGGTCTTTTTTTTTTTTTTGAGATGGAGTTTTGCTGTTGTTACCCAGGCTGGAGTGCAGTGGCATGATCTCGGCTCACTGCAACCTCCGCCTCCTGGGTTCAAGCAATTCTCCTGCCTCAGCCTCCCGAGTAGCTGGGACTACAGGCTTGTTGACCAGGATGGTCTCGATCTCTTGACCTCGTGATCCACCTGCCTCGGCCTCCCAAAGTGCTGGGATTATAGGCGTGATAATTAATTTAAAGACCGGCCTTCTTTGAGGTCTTTAAAAACATAAAATAATTTATTATAAGAGGGGCATCAAGACCTTAATGCCTCTAAATAAAACTTAATAAAATTCATCAATAGCTCTTGGGTTTACTCTAGTTTTTAGATGATTGCTTTTCTATTGATAACTCTCATTTGAGCAATTAATTTAGGAAGGCCTCTTCCAGTTGCTGATGCTTAAGAAGTGGAATTATAATATTCCCACAATTTTATATCAATGAAAAAATTTGAAACATAAAATATTTTGTGAAAACATTTTTACTTCTTAAAAAAGATATGTCTAGAATATTTTGTCTTGTGCTTCTTAAAGCAATGAAAAATTATCTCTGAACAAAATGCATATGAATTAAAAGTTCAATATGATTAATCAGTCAAGGATTAAGAGTTCCTAGCACAAACCTAGACCCTGTAGGTGTTCAAAAATGTTTTACATTATTCCTGTCTTTGAGGAACTTACAATCTAGCTAGAAAATTTTACTATGAAACAGCATCATCCAATACTGACTTGTCTAGTACAAGTGGAGTTGAGAAAACAGAGTGGTATATGGCAAAATAGTCTAAGAATAAGCAGTAAAAGCATCACCATCAAAAACTCTAGGTTATAAAGGACTGGGTTGAGAAAGCTCAGTTTTTCAAAGCACTCACAGCTGGGGTGCTTCCAATAGCATCCTTGAGACAGACTCTAGTACCTCCAGCAAGAAGGAGTTCACTATTGCAACAAACAACTCATTCTTGGATTTTTATTTTTTTATTTCAATGTTTTTCTTATAAATCAAGTTCTCACTCCTTTACATTTGATGCCATGCACATTCAGAACTATTGAATATGTCTCCTTTTATCCATGTCTTCACTGCTCAATCACCTTTATACAGTTTCTTTATGGTAGTAGTGAAAGAAGTGACTCAGAAGGTCTGTCTTTGAAAAAAAGAGAGTAAAACTATAAAATGTATCCTCGCTGACCAAAGCAAAAAAAGAAATATTCCTTCCCCTCTCCATACAGAAAAACTCAGGATATTAAGATCTCCCTGAAGGGGGTCCTAAAAAGTCAGTAAGTGTTGAGATAAGAAGAGAGGATGCACGTCGTAAGTAGAGATAAAAAGAGCTAGATTTAAAAACTCTTGTTTCTCAACTCCTTGTACGTAATGTTCTTACTGAGAATTTCGAATGTTAATGGATTATTTTGAATGATTATTTAAAAAAAAAAAACCCTCATCAGTTGACTTGAGACTTTCAACACTTTTTTTTAAAAAGATTAAGGCCATCACACTTATTGATCTCAAACTCTTTTTAATTCTAAAAAAGAGCCAAGTGTGCTAAATGAGGCCCTTTGAAAAGCACACAGGGCAGCTTTCCATGTTAACTTTCAAGAAAGGCACAAAACAGCAATCAGTCCTGACTCTATCAAGTTTGAAAGAGTCAACAAGTATTTACTATATGCTTTCTATGTGACCTTGAGGACTCGAGAGAGAACAAGTCACCTCACTGCACACAACATCAGGGAAGATGCTAGTGCTTACTCCATTAGTGCAGGTATCTGTAGTGCCTAGCTAGTGCCTGGCATATTATACACTTTCAAATTGTTGAAAAACAGACAAAATCCAAAGACAACATGGTTTGGGCTAATTGTATCGAATATGATTGTGGTACTTTGTGATCTTATTCTAAATCACTTAATATCCCTGGTCTTTTTTTCCATATTTACCAGAAGCAGGGACAACTGTGCTAGTTGTCATGATTTAACTCCCTAATCTTTATCTTTAGCCCTACTTTTTCACTCTAACTTCAGATTCATCAAATATCCAACTGCCTGCCATACTTCCTCAAACTCAGCATGTTCTTCACCGAAGAAGCGTTTTTTCATTGTATTCTCTATCACTGACACCACTAACTTTCCAAATCAGAATCATCCTTAACTTTGTAAATGTCACCTCCTATGACATGCCTCCGATCTGCGCTTTTCCAGTCCTATTGCTAGTGGCCCTGGGTTAGGCTCCCCAAATCTCTCTCCAGTACTATTGAAATAGCGTGCTAACTCACCTCCCTGCCTTCAGTTCTACTCTACCTACATCCTTACACTCCACAAGATAAAATAGGTATTATTTAGTACGAGTTCCTCCATGCCTGGCCCCTGCCCATCTCTCCAGCCTTAATTACTATTATGATCCCCCCACTTACTCTAAGTCCCAACTATACCTAACTACTCACACTGCCTCCTTCCTGTGCTGAGCTTCTCCCTTATCATACCATTCTTTATCTTGATAACTTTATCATCCAGCAAGACTCAGCTCACCAATCTCCTCCCAAGATTCTTTGCTTTGGGTCTCCCTTCACAATTTATGATAACCATTAAGAGCATGATCTGGCTCTTCCATCTACTCACTGTGACCAGGGGCAAATTATTGTACTTTAATTTCCTTAGCTTTAAAATTCAGGGGCTTTAAAAAAATATATTAACAAACACCACTATGTGCTATTCCGAGCGATTTACAATCTTCAGAACAATTCTACATGGATCTAGTATTGTTTACATTTTTATAGAAAACAGCAGCGAGTATATGCAGTTTGCCCATGATCATACAGATAGTAAGTGGTGGATATGGGATTCTAACTCAGGAAGCCTGGCTCCAGAGTTCTAGCTGTTTACCTCTGCACTATGAATATTCTTTAGTCTCTATCTTGAGGGTTATTCAAGAGAGTAAGTTAATGGGTGCAAAGTACTTAGAGCAAGGATTGGTACACTGAAAGCATGGTGTGTTTCGTATTATGATTCGGTGCCTTCACTGTATATACACAGCATTTATTAAATTAATGTTTAAGACTTTTGAGCTCCCTGTGTTATTTCCTATTTTTTATCCTCAGATCCTGGCTTTGATAAATGTTTCCTGAACTAGGAAAAATTCACTAAAATTTGATTCCTTAAGCTCAATTCATGCTTCCATTTTCTCTTCTTTTATACCCAGTATTATTTGTAAGTCATTCGGCAAATATAAAGATTGAAATGAGGCTCTGCTTCACCTCTGAGGAATCTAGTCTTCAGCTGTCCAAAGCATTTATTTCATGTGTTGATGAGAGAGTTTTCTATTCTAGAGTTATGGTTTCCTATCTTTGTTCCAATCCTTAGGGATCCATGATTAGTAACAGGAGTTTTAGAGTTGTTTCTTTAGTTCACCTTCAAGAAGTTTTTTTTCCAAATCACAAAAGCTTAAAAAATGTTTACTCATAAAATTTGAAAATTATAGAAATAAGAGTTAAAAACTATCTTCTGCCCATCACAAAGAAATAGCCAGCATTGGTATTATCAAAAGAAAAAAATTACCACAAATTTAAAGTTCAAATTTACTTTTATTTGTGATTCTAGAAATGGGGCAACACCTCATTCTATAAAATGGGTGTTCTGATGAGCTAAGCAGAGGAGGTTAGCCTTCTGGGCAGAAAAGGGCTAAAAAAAGCAGAAGGAACAAAACGTGGATTTGTTGTTTCAAAACTGAAAACTTCCCTTACAGGTTAAAACAGAGAAACTTTTTTTATTTCATTAACTCAGGTTGACTGAAATCTCTCTCTTTTTTTTTTTTTTTTTTTTTAAGAAAACTGGCTCATTTCAAAGTTCAGTTTGATTATGGGGCACTTAGCACAAGTGCCTCCATTCTAATTCTGTCTGGTCTGCTGGGGCCTAGTGCAGGAGGTCAGTCCAAAACAATGGCCTCCCACACATTTTTGTTCTTTATGTGTAGAGTACATTTTTAATGTGCAGTTTTATAAATTATACCATATATACTGTTTATAATCTGCTTTTTTCTTCATGTAATACTAGTCCACATGATTTTTAATAGTTGCAAAATATTCTACTAT